GTTACAGGCTCCCCAGCATGTAGGTGTCTACGGCAATGGGTGCTATGACTCAGGGCCTGGTCACTTTACTCTCTATGTAAATGCTGCTCCCCAAGAAGGGCTGAGTGTCTTCTTTCTGCTGGCTCTGTCTCCATTCAGAGGGGCTGGGAGGGACCAGACAGGGCAGGACAAGGAGGTAGGAGGAAGTCTGCCCAGTGCCGCCTCCCTGCCCTGTGCCTGGCTCCTGCTGGCAGCCCAAGCCCTTGGCCTCCCAAGCTGCTCCTGGAATGCAAACCCCAAGCAAAGCACATTCTTTAACCGGGTCACCAGCTTCTGGCCCTTGGTAAGGGAAGGGGAGAGCCAGCATTTCTCTTGGCCCTGAATGACACCAGCACAGGCTGGTGTGAGCCTGCTGCTATTCAAGGCTGGATTAATCAGCTGGTTGTCACCCACAACTCATAAAATGCCCAACTGTAACCTGTCACTCCTGTTGGAGCCCACAAGAAGGGGGAGAGGGTACCTCTGTCCTAAGTAGGAGGATTAGAAGTACTGCTATGTATGGCCTCCTGTTAGCCACCCCTGGAAGGGGCTTAGAGGAAGAGGGGCCATTGTAAAGTATCTCTCACAGCTGGTATTGTCTATGGGTCTGACTTTCTCAAGCCCGCTGTGGGCTACATGCTTAGATACTGATGCTCCCAGATGTCCTGGGCCACAAAGGTTGGTGATATCATCACAGCTCTGAGGAGTATCCCTAAAATGTGTGTATGAGTGTGTGTGTGGGGAGTGGTAGTGAAGTAGACTGGGAGACAAGGGCTTGCACTCACCAGGTACACAGTGCAGCGGGCATTCGGGGTGAAAGGAACAGGTTTGCTGGGCAGGGAGCTGGGGAGCAGCCAGGGCATTTGGAGAGGATGGAGCAGAGTAGGGAGGGGAGGCTGGAAGGGCAGAGCCTCTGAGAAGGACCCTGGAGCCTGGAGCCTGGGAGTCACCTGGAGAGCCAGGGAATGTGGGAGGAGGACGCTTAATTCTAAAGGATTCAGTCAGATGTGTAGATAAGAATGATTTCAGAAAGGGTAAAGGGAACCGGGGGAAGTAGGAGTGAGGAGGCTACTGGCACTTCCTTATATAAGGTGAGGAGGTTCAGAATGACCCTAGAGGCTGCGTGGTGGGCAGGGGAGAGAAGAGGGAAGGTGAGGAGGTCACTTTCTACCCAGGGTTGTGCTAGCCACTTGAGGTGCTGACGCCAAGGTTTGAGTTGGAATCAGTCCATGTTGGAATTTGTACATTACTATTCCCTTATAAAAAATGCTTGCTTTTGAGACTTTGAATTGACACCACCCTGCTCCATGGCACAGGTCTTGAGAGGAGGATAGGTTTTTTCTCAACTGTCCAGAACTTTCAGGGTCCTTTCAGGCACCAAGTGTCCAGCCCTACCAGACCCTCTGAGTCTATCTAGCAACTACTTCATCTCTGGGAAGTGAAGGTGGCTGGATGGTCTTTCATTAACAAAAGTAACTGGCTTAGGAGCATGAAAAGGCCAGTTAGGCTGAATGAGGAACCTGGCCTGGGGCACCAGATCTTTCCCTAGTCTCCTCTCAGGGAGCCATCTACTTGCTTACTCCCCATACAGCCTTTGTGGAGGGCTGTACCAGCCAGGCCCTAAGCAGTGAGGTGAGTCCGAGTTCTCTCTCCAAGGAGCTGAGGATCTCTTGTGGAAGAGCTCTTGGGGCGTCTCTGTTTCCTGACCTGCAGAACAAACTGACTCCAGCCTTTGGGATTGTGCAAAAAGTCCCTCTAGGCAAGCTGAGGAACCACAGCATGGGGCCCTGCCGGGGTCTGCAGTGTGAACAATTCAATGGTCCTGCCAGGGCAAGGACCAAGGACTGCAGAAGGCTGCAGCATCCCCCTTTCCAAATGAAAAAGCTTCTGAGCACAGGTGCATGCCCTGAGTCTGCATTCGCAGTGGCGGGGGCAGAGGGTGTTTGTGAGAACAAAACTTTGTGCATGAACAGGTATGTACAAGGAGTGTGAGTGTGCACGTGAATTTGTAAAATATGAGGCATAGCTATAATGTTGAAGTGGAAGGTGTGTGTGTGTGTGCATGGTCATATCCATGTGAGTGTGCACATGAGGTATGTCTGAGTTGGAATGAGGGGTATATGTAGGTGTGAGATAATTGTGTGTGTGTGTGTGTGTGTGTCTATGGGTGTGGGGTGAGCCAACCCACGTGTGCTGGTTGCTGTGCAGGAAGCTGGGCTGGTGTGAAGTCACTTCTGCATGTGTCCTGCAGAGCTTGCACTTGCAAAGAGCTTGCTGGCCTCAGGGCCAGGGGTGATAGGTTCCTGGTGCTTTGTTTCAGAGTCAGGAGCAAGAGCTCTGGAGCTCCCCCTTTGTGAAATATGAGTTGTTTCTGCATCTTCTAATCTGTTCCATTGATCTTTGGGTCTGTTGTGTTTTTTTGGTGTTTTGTTTTTTTTTTTTTTTTTTGCAAGTGCCATGGTATTTTTATCACAGTAGTTTTATAGAATAATTTCAAGTCTGGGATTGTGATGTTCCTGCCTTACCTTTGTTGCCCAGAATTGCCTTTGCTATTCTAGGTCTCTTCTGGTTCCAAATGAATTTTAGGACTGTTTTCTCTAATTCTGTGAGATATGCTGTTGGAATTTTGATTGGAGCTGCATTAATCTGTATAACAGTTTTGGAAGTGTGGCCATTTTCACTATATGGGTTCTTCCTACCCAAGAGCAAGGGATACCTTTTCATTTTCTGATATCCTGTTGATGGCAACTCCAGGAAGACAGGAATTCTAAATCTAGCACCATGCTAAGCACATAATAGATGTTAACTTTAAACAATTTTGGAAAGCCAATGGACTGAAAATGTTACAAGGAACTTCCTTCCCCAGAGATCTAAATTTAGGAATATTCAATCTTTTCTCACACCAGCGAGCCCTTCCCAACTTGCCTGGATAATCCTCACCTTCCTTCCTTGTGAAACAGTCTCTACCCTTCCAGGTTGAACTTATGACTCTTCACATAGCACCATACTACTTGATCTTGTCTCTCCCAGTGCTTGCTCACCGATGGTAACACGGTGCTGTGCTCATAAGTGTTGCAATCAGACCTGGTTTAGTCACTTACCAGCGGGGGACCCTGGGCAAGTTATAGAACCTCTCCAAACCCCAGTTTTCTCGTCTGGAAAATAGGACACCAGAGCTGATCTGAGAATTGAAGCAGGTGCTTTACCACCTCATGACATGGCATCACCATTGCTATTGTTTGGTAGATTGGAAAATGAAGCTAAGATGGGCGAGGGACCTTCCCACAGTGTGTATGCATGTGTCTGTGTCTGGGTGCGTGTGTGTGTGTGTGTGTGTGTGTATGGTGCAAAAGTCAGGCCATCAACTTCGGATCATGTCTTGTCTCCACGGTGCCACCAGGTGCCAATCACAGGGCTTAACACTGACATTTGGTATTTCCCTCACTCAGCAAGGTACCCCAAAGTTCTCCCATATGAACTTCCTCAGCAGACACTAGCTCCATCCCTGAGTTGCCTTTGGGGATGGGCCTAAGTAGCTAATTCAACCCTTTCTTCAATCAATGATTTAGCACGGTTATTGGGATAGAATGCAGGGTCTTGGTACTGAGCTGCATCTCCAGCTTGATTTCCCTTTTTTGTGAGGCAGGGTCTTACTAAGTTACCCACATTGAACTTGAACTTGCATTCCTTCTGCCTCGGTCTCCCAGAGTACTAGGATTATGGGCATGTCACCACGCCCAGTTTAACCTTTTAGAGTTGGCTATATCCCTAAGGGTCCAGCTATTTTAAAACACCTTAGTGTCATCCATGGTTACAGGACCACTTTATGCCCTTGGAGAGATGCCCCTCATAGGGCTTGGCTTCCTCTTGCAAAGGGTGGAGGTAACACTCTTGGTAGATACGTTTTTGGCTAGGAATTGCAGAGGGCTGGAGGGGGTAGGGCACAAATGGAAGGGGAACAGGATGACTGTACCATGGACAGTCTCTATGGCAGCTTCCTCCAGGTGCTGTCCCATCTGTTTCAGTATCTGCAGCTTCTCCAGCTCCTTTTTGTACCAGTTCACAGGACATAGAGGAGATAAAAATGCAGGCGGCCTCTGTGCAGTCTATTCACTAGGGGGCGCCAGCGCCACAGTGAACCATCTCACTCTGCTGCCAAGGAAGGCATGCTCTGGGACCCAAGGAAGGAAAAAGTCCAGATCCCAAGGAAAGGACAAACAGAAGTCCCTAACCCTTCAAGGCTCAGGTTCCACTAAACCTTGAAGATCCAGCTGAGGGTGTCGCGCCTTGTTCAGGAGGCTCCCCGTGAGTCCTCAGATACAGACAGGCGATCCCCTTCTGCTCCATCTCAATGGGAGATAACTATACCACTGCCTGAGGATGCCGCCTGGCTCCTCCACAACTCTCAGGGCAGGCATTTTATTCATCTTTGCATTCCCAGTGCTAACATGGCTTTGGTTTCAGTGCTGGGGATGCAGCCAGGGTCTCATGCGTGCTAGGCAAGAGCTCTATCACTGAGCTCCACCCCCAGCTGGGTACAGCTTTTAAAAGTAACTGGGAACCACAAAGATGCCATACAAGCTAAAAAGAAGGACATTCTTGAAAGGCCTTTTTTTTTTTTTTTTTTTTTTTGCCTTTTTAGAAAGTCAGGGAGCAATTTCCTCTCTACTTTGGATAAAGAAAAATAAAAAGCATTTGCTGAATAAAGTAAAGCTAGACAAGAGGAGGAACCTGATACAGGCTGAATGAATACAACTTTGCCAAACACAGACATGAAGTCTTGGTACAAAGACAAGGGAAATCTGCTGTTTTTCTGGGAATGGGACAGCTGGTGGTGGCTGTGGGAAGATGGGATTCTTCAAAGGGAAGAGCAAAGATAGATGCCCTATTTAAATAGCCTGGAAACACCAGAGGGACTGTCGTATAGAGTCCCCTCTACCCACCAAGATGCCTTTCCACCCACCCCTAGAGGCAGCAGAGAGGATAGGAATATAGAGTTTAATTATTGTGCTGCTGTTATTAACCAGAGTGCAATGATCCATCCTGTGTGGATTCCAAAGCCACAGTGTACAGGAGAAGGTTTCACACAGGAGCACTCTGGGGGCCGCTGGGGACAAAAGGGCAGGGCCTCTGGTGGGAGAAGGTGGCAAAAGGCAAAACAGAGGGGAGAGGTGGGGAGCAGACACGGCTCAGAGTCTGCTCCTTCCCCATCAGCAATGCCCAGCAAGAACCCCAAGAGGAAAAGTCCTTCCTGCCGAGGCTGCTGGCTTGGCCTGGCCAGGTGACTTCCTCCCGCATGCAGCTGCCTCTGACTTCATGTTCCAATTCCTGCTTAGCAGGTGAGGGCCAGGGCAGGTCCACAGTTGACCATCAGGTGGAGGAGGGATGTAGTCCAAAGGAGAAACTAGAGGTTCAATCTAGTTCAGAGCTAGGTAAAGGACAACAGAGGCCCCTCCTCTGGTAGTGGACAGCCTGCAGAGTAGCCCAAACTGCTTTGTCAAGACTGTTCCTCATGGGGGCTGGGGATTTAGCTCAGCGACAAAGCGCCTGCCTGGCAAGCCCAAGGTCGTGAGTTCGGTTCCCAGTACCGGAGAAAAACCAAAAAAAAAAAAAGACTGTTCCTCATGTCAAGAGTGGTGTGATACAGTTTAGATCCAAGGTGCAGGCCCTGGCCAGCTAAGAGTCGGAGACACACAGAGCTTCCACGGCATCACTCAGACCCTGGTTGACACCCCCTACGGCCAGGAGGCAGTTCTTAATGACGATACTGGAGCAGGCACAGCGGGGTGTGGGCATGGTGGGGAGGACCTCCCATTTGTTCTTCCCTGGATGGAAGGCTTCGGCCGTCTCCAGAACTGTGGGTTGGTTCCCTGAGAGCACCAAGAGAATAAGACCTTACCAAAGGGTCCAGCTACCAATCCCTGCCTCCCTCCCTTGGGGACGCACAAGCACACACTAAGCAACTGCAATGTCCTTGGCTCGGGTGCAACCCCTTCCTCTTCCCGTTCTGGACCAATGGCTCTTCTCAAGCAGCCACTTTGTCCTTCTGTCTTCTCCTTGTCCTCTCATCTCCCTAAGAATAAGCATTCACTCCTCACCCCTGGTTTTTATCAGAACTTTTTAGAGCACTGCTGTATCCCCCCTGCTTTTCACTATAAAAGTTATCGCATGGGCCAGTTCCTGTGGTCTTTTTGTGCATAAGTAACATGGGGATATGTCCACACTTGGACATACATTTGGGGTGCCTCAAGCCCTACTGCCTGTATCTCTCTGCTCTAATGACATTGGGTTTCCCCCATTACAGTCCGTCCTTCAAAATACCAGCAATTTCTGAGAGGGGGTAATACATCAAATCCCAAGTTCATTAGAAGTGTTTATTTGATTAGATGTATCTTATCCCAAGATAGAATTGGGTATCTAAGGAAAAGAGAGGAGGATGAAAGCCATTCCCTCTGCATTTTCTCTCCAGTCATTCCACGGATTTGTGCTCAGCAAAACTACATTACATGGCTGTCAGTATGTCCCTTAGTCTTTCTAGGCCTCAATTTCCCGAGTGTAAGAGGACAGAAAGACCCAATCCGGGGACCATAAGTGGAAAAGTAAAGTCCCTGGTAAGAGGAAGAGTTTTGAATTACAGTATTCAGAATAAAGAAGTGGGCAGGTGATGTGCAAAAAGCCACAGGATTCTGCTGCTCATGCAAAATGCCAGGGATCCACTGAGAACCAGCACCACAAACATTCCAGCCTGGAAGTCCCATCCTTACCAAGACCCCCGGCTACTACGACCCGTCCACTCAGAGAGCCGGCCACAAAGTCTGCCCGCCGCTTCTTAAGGAAGAATGAACGTTCCATCTTCAGCCACCCTCCTACAGGCCACAGAGAGAGAATTAGGGGCTGACCATCCCTATCAAATATAGACAAGCCCTAAATGGCTCTCAGCCTGGACAGCGGCTCCCTTTTACTTTGTGCTCAGGGTGTACACAGCGCCCCCTATTTGCAGTGACCTCCTCTGCAACCTGAACCCTCTTCTGTGCTTCTTGCCCCATACAACACAGAACTTTCCACCATGAACCCCCTCCCTGGCTCGACGCTTCGGAGGAAGCCGACAGAGGCAGTGAGTGTGGGAGTGGACATTCCTCTGTTTCTCCATCGGTAAAGGAAAAATCACTCCCTGATCTGGTCCTGCACAGATACTGTAAGAAAATAACACATAGAAAAAGTTTTGATGAAAACAACTAAACCATACGAGAGAGCACTGCATACATGAAATAATTTGACCCTATGAGTAGCCTTGAGGGAAATGGGTGTTTAGACTTTGGAGAGGCTTGCCCAGCTAGGTAGATGGCCCTAGGACATGGATGGGCCGGAGGGAAGTTGGGGTCAACTAGAAGGGTGGTGAGCAGCAAGCACTTCCCTGGGAAAGTCCTGCAAACACAGGGTAGAGGACTGCCCCCAGCTCACCCTGTTCCATGTCAAACACGTCCATCGTTCGCAGGAACTTGGGCTGCCGGTAGAGGCGGCCCTGTCGCAGGCCTCCCAAGCTGTACAAGTGGTTGTCCAGGGTCACAAAGCTGGAGAAGGCCCGCTTGCAGGGGATGTTGGGAAACTTGGTCCAGGAGCGAGTCTCGATGTCAAAGACCTCGAAAGCATTGACCGCATACTTGGACTGGCGTCCCCCTGGAGGCCAGAGCAGGGTGGAGGTGAGCAGAAGAGGAGTCCTGAGCACAGGGGCTGGTTTCTCCTTCTGACTGTTACCCATTCACACAGGAGGCTCCCTGAGGGTTGGGCCAGTGTGATCATCCCCTATGCCAAGGAGATGCTCGGCTCAAAGGCACTGCTTCCAAGGGGAAGCGACCCCAGGGAGGGAAGGAGGGGGAGATGTACAACAGGTAACTCCTCCTTACCCAGCACATAGATCTTGGAGCCTCGGAGGAAGGAGGTGGCAGCATATCTTGGGGTTGGCATGGGTGCCAGTGACACCCACATGTCCTTGAGCATGTCATAGTGCTGGAGGTGGTTGTGTGGGCGGAGGTCCAGGCCCATCCCGCCTGCTGCGTATACTCGGTAATCTAAGAGAAAAGCCACACGCAGTCCTGGCTCAGCTATAGGCACCAGGAGAAAGGACTTACCTACTATGGCCAAGCCAAGTTTGATGGCACCATTCAATGTCTTTGTTGTGGCACAGCTTGGTCTTCCTGGAGCCAAGGAAGCTTTCCTTGGAATCCAGCCCTTCGCTAAGCCCAGAAGACTAAGCCCTGCACAGAGGGAGGCTGTGGTCCAGGCTTCATCTGGAACATCCTCTATGGTCTTGTCCCCTCCACTATCCTCCTTCCTGAGCAGCTGGAAGTATCCTTTTGATGATGCTCTCTAGTGATGACCTATTCCCCAGGAATTCCCCAGATGGCCTGTTCCCCAAGTGGAATTCTCTAGAAACAGTAGGGACCTTTAGACATAAGGCCACTGTCCCTGGCCTTGTGGGACACTGGGCCACCTCTGGTTCCCTTTTTCTACCACCCCCATAGGGGAGTGCCATCCTCCTGCATGGATTAGGAAGCTTTCGGATCTAGGAGGCATCCACAATGAATGAAGGGGAGGAGAGAGACCCAATCCCTTTTAGAAATCCTGCCCCTCCTTCCCTCACTACTCTTGGCTGTAGGAGGCCTTTTTGGGACCCCCATAACACACACTGTATGACAGAGGATGGATAAGCAACACCACCGTGCCCCAGCCTTCTGTGGGGCCCTCTCTTTCTCAGGGACCTGCCTCTGGGTGAACACTACATCTTTTACTTTCCAGTCTTACTGAAAATAAAATAAAAATCCAGCCTTAGCCTAAGGCTGGGAAATGGGGCCTGATAATGAATGACTCACTTAACATAAGCTCCCCCTCCCATCCTGTTACCTGGAACACTTCATCCTGGAAATTCTCCCATCCACACTCCAATACTACCATACCTCTCTGCTCAGTTCTAACTCACCCTTTCACTCTCACCTGGGTGTCCCTTAACTTTAAGCCTGGACCAAGGTTCAGCTCAGCGCCACCAGAATGATGGCATCTCTGTCACCCTGCTGGCCACATGTTACTGAAATCATCTTTATTTCTCCCACTAGATTATAGGTCTTTGAGAAACTATAAATCTGTAGTTCCAGAATCTTGTTTAATGGTCTATGTGAATGTTTATTAACTGTTGAATTCATTTAGTGCAATAGTTAGGAGCACAGGCATGATCATCACTTACTAGTTGTGTGACCTTGGGCCAATGACTTGACCTTCTAGGGTTTTATGTTGCTTCATTCTAAAAGGAGGATTAAAGTAGCACTCATCTCATTGGACAGGTTGTGAGGGTCAAAGAGGATACAGCATCAATGGTACAGACTCCCTGGGGCTGGGGATTTAGCTCAGCGGCACAGCACCTACCTGGCAAGTGCAAGGTTGTGAGTTCAATTCCTGGTATAGGAAAAAAAAAAAATCAAAACCAAAAAAAGGCTGGGGATTTAGCTCAGTGGCACAGCGCCTGCCTGGCAAGCGCGACGTTGTGAGTTCAATTCTTGGTACCGAAAAAATGAAAAAAAAAAAAAAGAGAGAAAAAACAGACTCAATGTAGTTCTTAACCTTTCAGGACCATTCATTGAGACCCACAATGGAGGGTTCTCTTTTCTGTTCTCCATGGACCTTCAGGCCATTCAGCCTTCTTACTGAGGTGTCATGGAAACCCCCACTGACCACCTTGTCCTAGGAGAGTCTGGGATAAAGCTTGTCTTTAGTCACCTTCCTCGATCAGACCGTGGCTTCTGAAGGCAGGGCCAGAGCTGCCTTTTTTCCTCTTTACTGGGGCCTAGGACTGCCAGGGCAGCACAGTGTTAAAGAAATACTGGTTTCTAATCTACCATAGGCCTGACAGGGAGCAGGGATGGTGTAGCAAGAGTGGAAGGTAAGGATGGGCATGGAAAGAGAGTGGAGTCACAGTCCATACAACCTGTGCTGCCTGGAAAGTATGCAAGGGGGGGTCCCCTAACTCCCATGGACCATTTCCTATAAAACCTTTACATTTGCACAAGAGCTTCTCGACTCCCTTCTATGCTCTGGCCTGTACTAGACAGCCCCCTATCCCACCCCATGAAAAGATCTGTGATCCCACTAGCCTGGATGGCTGAGGGAGGAAGATTGCAAGTGTGAGCCCAGCCTGAGCAATTTAGTAACTTAGCAAGTCACCCTGTTAAAAAAAAATATTTATAAATGGCCTGGGAAGGCAGCTCAGTGCAAAGGCCCTGGGATCAGTTGCAGTCCTGAAGAAAGAAAGAATGAAATGAGGAGAAAGTGGAATGAGCATCTCAGAACTGCACAGTTGGCACATGATGCTTGCCCAGGAACTTAGTGAAATGAACTAGGTGCTGGAGAATCACAGCCCTGGGGAACATTCTGGTCTCTACTTGGGAGACCGGGGGTCGGGAGGAGAATGGGAGAGGGAAGAAGGGCCTGAAATCAGGTCTCAAAACCACACTTCCTCAGTAAGGCCTGGTGATGGTATGAGGAGGCAGTGAACACCCTCAGGACCCCAGGTGGTGTTTGGAGGTGATAGCGCCTGCAGGAGGATTTGAAAGTATAGGGTGTGCCAGGGATGTGGTCCTTCAGTGGATGCCAGGGTCTGCAGACTCATGGCACCCAACCCTGCAGCCCGCACCCTGGCAGTGCCCTCTGGCAGAGGTCTGCCCAGCTTGCGGGGAGGAAACCCCAGGAGTGAACTTCTGGTCTCAGGTGCAATTCCTAGCTACCTCATTTGCTAAGCCTCAGTTTCCTCATCTGTAAAATAAAGTTTCTAGGATCGAATGGGATTAGGATGTATCGTGGGCCCTCCTGATAGCACCGATTTCCGTTTCCTCATCCGTCCTACTCACTTTTCTCTGCCCACCCCAAGCCCTGGCCCTCTTACCTTTGGCCGTGACAGAAATGCCCATGGCAGCCTCACGCAGCGTGCTCCTCTTCTTCCACTTGCCTTCGTCGATATTGTACATCTCCACGACCTTCAGGGGCAACTGATTAGTGCCCACGCCCCCGATCACCATAATCCGCTTCCCCAGGGCTGTGACGGCCACCCCGGCCCGGGCTGTGGGCAGTGGGGGCAGGGCGGTCCACTGGTCCGCCTCGGGGGAGTAGACCTCGAAGCAGTCCATAGGGACTCCGTTGTCATCGCATCCCCCGATAGCATAGACCTGTCCTCCGGTCTCCAGCAGGGAGCAGTAGACCCGGCGGCTAGGCAGCGGCGCCAGGCGCTTCCATTGGAAGTCCTTGACATTAGGCACCTCCATGGCAGCCCTGGTAACCCTGCCCGCCCGCAGCACCAGGTGAAGTTCGAGCCCGGGGGGGTCCGTGGGCTACTCCGAGCCGGCTCCCGGGTCCCCTGTCCCTTCCATCTAGCTCCGGGGCGCCGGCCCCGCCCGACGCCGGCCAGCGCCTCACTGTCCCTCAAGTCTCAGCGGTCCGGCGGCGTCCGTGCGGGGCCCTGCGGGAGGAATCGGGCGGATCAGGGCGGCCGGGGCCACGCGCCCTCGCGTCTGGGGCTCCGCAGTCCCTCGCCAACTTTAAAGGGAGACGCGACCGCGGAGGGCGCCACCCCGCGGCGCCACCCTGCCCCGCACGGCTTTGTCCCCCACCCCCTCCCCGCCCGGAAACCGCCCGAGCGAGTGGGGGGCTTCCGGGGCTCCCCGCGCTAGGCTGTCCCCTGGCAGAGAACAGAGTGAACGCCTCGCTGCCCCCGTCTGGGCGCCCCTATCCGCCGCCACTTACATTGCCAGGCCGGAGCTGCGGCGGGGCACGCACGGCGCATCCCAGGGGCGCCCGGATCCCCAGCCCCGCGGCGCGGAGAGCTGGGGAGAGCGCGCTCCGTCCTTCGCTGTCCGCACGCCGCTGTCACACATGCGGATGAGGAGAACAAATGAGCAGCAGGAAGGAGCAGCCGAGCCGCCGGCCCGGAGGAGGCGGGAGCCTTCCCACGCACGGCCTCCCCCGGCGCCGCCACACCTGTGCCGGGAGCCGCGACAGGAAGGCCGGGCGGGCGGCGCGGCCTCGGGCAGGGAGGGCGGGCGGCGGAGACCTCACCTCCTCAGCGGGCGCCGGAGCCAGGGGCCCAGATGACGGACCAGACTCCTTCCCAGTGTGGGGGCGGGCGTTTGCGACTGTTTGTTTTGGATGAGAGGCGGAGAGTCCAATTACCCAGTTTGTCTACAGTACACAGACCCAGTTCGTGACAGGCTGGCTTTGCTGTGGGGGAGGCGTTGTCATACGGTTTAACCTCGCAGAAGCAAGTTCCGTGGGAGTGACACGCGCAGAGCTGGCAGGTGCCGCCAACTATCACCTGCGCTCACTGTATATGTATAATTTCCACGTCCCCACCCCTCCCTCAGATAGACACACTGGGAGCAAGCGACAGACGCACATACCCGACACACAACCAGAGCCCCCAGCATTCGAAAACACAGATAGGCAGTCTGCTTCTCATACCCCAACACCACCTTCTTCGCACACCGCAGCAATGGGAGACGAGATTATCTGAACTGGGACCGTGGCACCGACCCACAGGGCTGGATAGAGGATCCTTTCAAGCCCCTTTCTAATAGCCTTTTTAGGACTGCGGTCCTCAGTAACAAAGGTGCCTGAGACACAGTAGGCCACCTGGCTTGGTGGGCTCTGCAAGTCCCCTGGGGTCCTCTGAGCAATGACCTGGCTTCCTTCAGGATGGCTACATTAAAACCCTCAGGCTCCGATGCCTGTAGACCTGGGTTTGAATCCTGGCCCTGAAAATCGTTTATTCCAGACTTCAGTTTCCTTACATATATTTTCACCTAGAATTTTTATTTTGAGATAAATCATAGATGCACATGTGGTTGTAAGGAGAAAATACCCTTTACCCACTTTTCCCCAGTGGTAACAATTTGTAAAACTATAGTACAGTATCACAACCTCAATATTGGAATTGACCGGTCAAGACCCGAACATTTCCATCACCAGCAAGATCACTCGGGTCACCATTTTACACTGAGCCGGGTTCTCTCTTCCCCTCCCCCACAACCCATGGCAACCAGTAATCTTTTCTCCTTTTCCATAATCTCCTGCTTCAAGAATGTTAGACAAACAGAAACGTACAGTACGTAACCTATTAGGATTGCCTCCCCCATCACTCCCTGGACTTTTATTCAAGTTGTTGTGTGTATTAATAGTTCATCCCATTTATTTCTTGGTGTGGATGTGTCCTTGCAGGCTTTTGTTAGGATTAAATGAGATAATATGCAATCAAGAATTCACTGTACCTCTGACACTTGGCAAGGGCCTGGTACAGTGATGGCGAACCTTTTAGAGACCGAGTGCCCAAACTGGGACTCAAAACCCACTTATTTATTGCAAAGTGCCAACACTGCAATTAAACCTGAACACTGAAGCTTTGGTTTAGAGAAAAGAGAAACGGCTATCCAATGCTTGGCTGTTGGGTGACTTGGCTCATGTGAGACAGAGAGCTCTGTGTGCCTGATGCACTATGAGTGCCATAGGTTCGCCATCACTGGCCTAGTAAATCTCTAGTAATCCTATTACTGCTACTGTAACTACTTGGGAGAAACAGAAGTCTCAACTCATAATAGGCCCATCTTAATACAGTTATAACAGAATTATTAAGCTCTTGGCTTAACAGTTCCACTGCTTTTTAGTTTAAGTTTTAGTACTTACAAAATAAGCATGCCTAAAATTACCACAGAAGATCCCTGGGTTGAAAACCATTCTCAAAGGGACTTGTTGGGGTTCTGGCTTCAGCTCTGCTTGCCCACTGAGCCTTCTACTGGAGTAGTGATGCCAGGCCTGTGGCACCCTACCCTGCTGGGACAACTTAACAGGCAGGTATATAGACTGCCGTACTGCTCTGTTTGCGTCACCACTGAGATAATGAGATAAGCTAAGCCCTTGCATGTCCGCTTTCTCACAGCACCCCCTTGCCAGCCCTGGGAGCACTGAGCTACATCCCTAGCCATATGTTTTATTTGTTTTGTTTTGTTTTTAATTTTAAAGAAAAGAAACAAAAAACCTAAAAACAAAATTCCAAAACAATATGATAGGAGGGTAACAACGGTCAACACATTGTACATTGTTATCTTTAAATTAGTTACTCAGAGTATGAGATATCAGCATTCAACTGTTTTATTTGGTTTTTAGACAGGGTGTTGCCAAATTGCCCAGGAGGGCTTTAACCTTTTACACATTCTGCCTCAGCCTCCTGAGGGTCTGGGATTTATAGACATGTGCCACAGTGCTTGGCGAACTTTTCCTAATCTTAAAACAACCCCAGGAGAGGTCTCCAAGGCAGGTATCAGCGTCTGTGATATACAGAGGAGGACCCTGAGCCTCAGTGAAGTGACTTACTTACACCCATGCAAGCCTATCAAGGTAGGTCTAGTTTGGGAATTCCAGATCTAACCCTCTCCATTTTTATCACAATTAAATCACAAATGAAAGAATGGAGTGTTGTCAATAAACCAAGCTTTTCCACTGTCATCTGCATTTTGGCCTTTTGTCCAACTGCAGTGAAGGGAGGAGCCCATATGCCTAAAGAGATTGCAGCACCTGACCATATGTCTGCACCAGATTGCACACCTAGGGACTCTCTGGAATCTGGCCCCTGAAAAGGCCCCTGTCCTAGCCTAAGCTTATGCTGGGTACTACTCTCTATGCAGGCCGTGGGGTCTAAAGACTCAGGGCCTTGGAAAAGTACTAAGAACAGGGTGTCTTCCAGGCTGTGCCCTAATTGCTTATTCTGGAAGTCCTGGCTTGTGTCCACCTCCCTCTCTTCTTCCCCCATGGCTCTTCCTCCCCGGCAGGTGATATCCTTTAGTCCTTACATCAAGTGCACATTGAAGAAGCTTGTAACCTAGCAACCACCACTTAAGATTCCCTGAGTCACCTGCAGTTTCCATGCCTGGGCTGCATGCACCAAGCTGTGGCCTTCAGGAATGCCAAGCTGAAGGGGAGTCCAGTGACTCCTTGGATCCCTCACCACTCAGCCTAGCGTGTAACCACTTTCCAGGTCAGAAAGTCCATCCTCATGTCAAACCTAAATCCTTCTTGCTGCAGATTTTGCATAGCACTGGGCCTGGCTTTCTGTTCCTTATTAAAAAGTGTTTATGGGGCTGAGAGTGTCGCTCTGTGGTAGAGTTTGTGCTTAGCATGTGTGAGGCCCTGGATTTGATCCCCAGCACCAAAACAAACCAAAAATTGTGTGACTTTTTGCTTTGGGAAAAAGAGTAGATGGAGGATCTATTCTGGAGGGCACTATGGTCATGAAAGCCACTAAAGATTAAGCCTTTTGTACTTTGGAATTTTAATATTTATTATTATCCACAGTCAAATTTGTAGATGCTCAGCTCCAGAAAAAGTCATTTACCTTTTTAAAAATTCACACCATGGATTTGTTGGGGCCTAACTTCCGCACAATCAAATGCAGTTTTACACAGTATCCATTGAGGATCTGTTAGGTATTCACAAGGTCCCCTTCTTGAACATGAGGCAGGTTATATGAAAGCTGGGTGTTGGGAGGGAGGGGGACAGTTTAGGAAAACAGGCAGTGTGGCAGGCAACAGGTGAAGCATCTGCAGGTGAGGGACAGATAGATTCCAAGAATAGGGCACTTTTATTTTACTTATTGCAGTACTAGTGTTTGAACCCAGGGCCTTCACAATGAGCCATATCCTCGGATCCTTTTTTAAATTTTCTAAATTTTGAGACAGGGTCTCATTACGTTGCTAAATTGTCCAGGCTGGGTTTGAACTTGTGATCCTTGATCCTCCTGCCTCAGTCTCCCAGAGTGCTGAGATTTCAGGTGGGCATCACCCTGCCAGCTCTATTAGTTGCCACAGAATCTCCTTCTCCCTCCCTACAAATACATGCTGCCCTCTTGCCAGAGGGAACCTCCTGCCTTTCATGGTACCATGCTGGGTGGGAGGACCCTTGAGGAGACCCCAGGCCAGATGGCCTTCTCTGTGTAGTTCTGTTTCTGCAGAGCCCCACAGATCACAGGGTAGTGGGAGGTTGAGTGGACTCTGGAATCAGGCTGACTGAGGCTGAACCCCGACTCAGCCCACACCCTCTGCACCCATCTTGTCTAAGTCTGTCTTGGGCAGGATCTCTTTCTGCCTGGCTAGGTGAGACCACTTCTGCTGCAGCCTAAACCATGGCCTAATTTACAGAACAGCTGGTATCTGCACACTGGGTAGTCACCTGTTCATTCCTAACCAGAAACCTGGTCTGTATGCAGGTCGGAGAGAGGGTGACTCATGCACTTATGACTGAGGTGGGCTGCAGGCAGACCAGGGAAAGGGAAGCTTCTTCCTGAGCCTGGTTAAGCCTCATGCAGGCATCCTTCCACCCTGCCCAACATCAGCCCAAGGAAGGATTTGGGTCACTTTTGCTGCAGACAGACCAATAATTTGCTTCTGTATTATCTGTCCTCAGGACACTGCTCCCCTGGGGTGGGGGAAATCCCCCAGAATGGCTTTGGCTATTAGCGCTCCCCTCCTGCCCAGCAGCCTTAATTATAATTGAGTTAGCAGAGAGCTCCTTTAAGAATCCACCCTGCTTCTTCCCCCTGGTGCCCAACGAGGTAGGTGTAGGAACAGAGAAGGACTTAACAGGCATGAGTTAAGGAACTTGAGGCCTCTCTCTGCTTCTAAGCACCTTTCCACTGATTTAGAGAAAACTAGAATCTCAGGTATGGAATGGGGTGGGGGAAGGGTCATCCCAATTTCCAAACTTGGTTTTTAAACTCAGCAGCTGCGCAGTTCAGTAAACAATGAATTGGAAAGCTGCACAGTCCTTGGCTATTCAGGGTGCACAAGAGTCACTGCTGGAAGGGACATCTCTGAAAGACCCCACCACTTCCCTGTATATTGAGGAAATTGTAGAGGAAATGTGGCTTATTATTATAAGACTGAGAACTGGGTTATAAACAAGGCAGAATTTCCTGACCAGCAGCATGAGAACCTTAAGATCCCAGCACGAGGTGAGGTGAGAGGTTGTGAGGTCACCTTCTAATGACAATTCTGGGAGTTGCTAGAAATAGGAAAGGCCTAGGGCTCTGAGTCCAGAGACCTCTGTATTGGCCTGAGTTTGTCATAATGGGCTGTGCAACCTTGGGTGGGAGAGTGCAGTGCAGTGTGAGCTTTGCCTCCCGTACC